GCCCATTTGGGAGACCATGACCAATTTGAACAACTTCTTCAACAGCGAGCTGCAGCAAAGAGAGCCCTGATCTCTGCAGATCTTGATGCCAAGCTGAGACGTGCCCTTCTGCGACAGTACCAAGGCACAGACCTCCCTTTGCAGATCGGGCAGAAGTGCTTCTTTTGGAGGGATCAACGACAAGACCGCTTGGTCAAGATCAGATGGCATGGCCCTGCCAGGGTTGTCATGGTTGAGTACTCCAAGGACGAGAAGCCCGAGCTCTACTGGCTGGCTTACAAGACGCAGCTGATCCGGTGCTCACCGCACCATGTGCGTGCTGACTTCACTGCAGCCGACACCCAACTGGCCGATGCTCAAGAAGCACGACGTGAAGTCGCCTCACTGCGATCCAGAGGTGTCACAAGGTTTCTGGACCTCAACAAGATCAACAGACGACGACGTCTTGAGGACTTCAATGAGGACGACATTGCCTCAGGTTCAGAAGCTGGCGACGATGATGCTGATGACTTGCAGTCACCAACAACGCGCCAGCGCACCTCCTATGACACCACGGCCCAGAGGCCTGAACTTTCTCTGGATGAGGCCATCCGAGAACTGGGACTGGAAGATGAAGATGAGCTCAGCATGGCACCGACCTCACCAGCTGACACACCTGCTGAGCATCCTGAGTTTCCTGGACAAGCACAACCTGCTGTTCTTCCAGCACCAGCTGTCCCAGCTCTACCACCTCCAGATCAAGTTCCACAAGGCGACAATGTTGTGCCGATCAACGTCGATGAAGATGAGCCAGGCCAAGAACCTGCTACGCTTCCAACACTACCTCCAACACCTGATGATGCATCTGCGCCTGCACCTGACCCTTTTGGACTGACATCTACATCCTCTGCGCTCTACGAGCCTGCTCAAGAAGACTTCAGAACAAGACGGCTGAGGATGGATCAACATGAGACGATGCAGTTCACTCCCTTTGGTCCCATGCGACGTGGTGCAGGACGCCATAACCCTTATCCACAACAAGCACCTCCTGCAGATCCACAGCCTGCTTCAGAGCTCTTTGGTCAAGCTTTTGCAGTCGATGACATTGGTGGTGGTGATCTTCCCAAAGGATGGAGCATCGATGAGCATGGCTACTTCCAGCTCGATGCCCACAACTTCCACGACTACTGGGAGATCAAAGCTGGTTGCCTGATTCGACATCACCTGCAGCCCAGACATCGCCGTCACGACATCACCAAAGAGAAGGACTGTCCCTTTGACTTGGAGCAGTTGGACCCAGTTCGTGTCACGATGATGCGTGCACCCAATGGCACCATCCAGGTCTCCACTGACCGCTTTGACACGGTGGTTGCGCCCAACAAGGCCGCCTGGACTGGACTCACTGTGTACCAACTGACAGGGGCTGTGAGAAAGGAGCTTGCCATGTATGCCACCACTCCTGCGAAGAGGGTTGCACGACAAGAGAAACATGCGGCCATCAAGAAGAAAGCTTCCTCTGAGCTCAGCGAGCGTGGACTCACCATGCACGAGCGTGAGCAGTTCATGCAGGCCAAGATCAAGGAGCTTCGCAGTTTCTTCGAGAATGGAGTCTGGGAGTTTTCCAGCGTTCGGGATGCTGACCCGCAACGCACCTTGACCTCACGCATGCTGCTCAAGTGGAGCAAGAACCCGGACGGAAGTCCGCGAGCTAAGGCTCGATTGGTGGTCCGCGGCTACAACGACCAGGACGCGCTTGAAGGAAGGGTGGAAACCTCAGCTCCCACCACAAGCCGCCTGAGCCGCTCTATGTTTCTGTCTTTGTCTTCAATCCTGCAGTGGTGTGGATGGACAGCCGACGTTGCAACAGCATTCCTACAAGGACTTCCTCAAGAACGACAACTCTGGGTCAAGCTACCCCGAGAAGTTCTCAACATCTTGGGTGCTGATGAGACGACCCGAATGCTGCTGCGCAAACCTTGCTATGGGCAGATCGATGCACCGAGACGATGGTTTCTCGAAGCTTCAAGGAGATTGACATCAATTGGGCTGCGCCCTCACATGCTGGATCCTTGCTGCTTCCTCATCTGCGAGGCTGACTTCCCCGACATTCAAGCCTCTGACCCTAGCAAGTGTTTGGGATCCGAACGGATCGTTGGCATGGTCTGCATCCACGTGGATGACATGCTTGGAGGTGGACTTGAAGAATCTTTGGTTTACCAACACGTTGTCAAGCAGCTTCGACAGATCTTCAACTTCCGCGAATGGAAGGACCAGGACAAGCTGGAGTACTGTGGCGCAAGCCTTCAAAAGACCCCGACCGGTGGATGGAAGGTGGATCACGCAGAGTATCTGCGTAAGGTGAAGCCTATCTCACTTCAACGTGATCGAGGTCCTGAGGACTACATGACACCGTCTGAGGTCACCCAGATGCGAGGCTTGCTTGGGTCCTTACAATGGCCCGCTGTGCAATCACAACCGCACCTGCAGTGCTCTACATCTCTTTTGGCTGGACAAGTCTCCGCAGGACTGGTCAAATCAATCCATGATGCCAATCGCTTGCTCAAGTTTGCCAAGCTCAACGCTGACGTAGCACTTTGCTACGAACGCATCTGTGATGTGCAAGATCTACGACTTGTCACGATGGTCGATGCAGCATTTGGCATTCGACGTGACGGTTCCTCTCAAGGTGGCTACCTGACCATGCTGGTCTCCAAAGACGTCTTTGATGGCACCGAAGGAGCCTACCATATCATTGACTGGCGCTCATCGAAGTTGCCACGAGTTGCCCGCTCGAGTCTTGGAGCCGAAGCCCAATCAGCAAGTCAGGCCTGCGACAACATGGACTTTGTTTGCCGCTTCTACCAACACCTTCTGGAGCCGAACGAGCCACTTGCCAACATCTTGCACAAGCCGAGCCCTTTGGAGCCTACGCTTGTCACAGACGCCAAAGCCCTCTACGACAGCTACTACAGAGAGAGCCTCAGCAGTGGCTTGACAGACAAGCGTACCGGCTTGGAGATCAAGGTCTTGCGAGAAGGGCTGGAATCGCTTGGTGGCCGCTTGAAGTGGATCTCCAGTGAGAGACAGTATGCAGATTCCCTGACCAAAGAGGGCACCCGCCAATTGCTGGCAGACCGCCTTCGCTACGGAAGGATCAAGCTGTCTTGGGATCCTGACTACATCGCGGCCAAGCGCAAGAAGCTCTCCGACCGCAATGCCAGCAGAGATGAGTTCTCGCAGCCTCTTGCCACAGTGGTGGAGGAACCTGAGACCACTGAAGACGTCCCTGTGGAAACCTTTGCCTGCTTTGGCGAGGAAATCAACTATGAGATGAACGATTGGGATGAGATGTCTGGCAAGGCTGTTGCAGCTCACTTGGAGCCACGTCCTGGCCAAGCCATTGACCTGAACTTCAACGACACCCTGCCGATTGTGCACACCCCGATCATGGACATCTCCTACGACCCGGAAACAAAGTTTGAGGGCGTATGGACGATCCTTTCTCTTCGAGCATTGCTGCGCTTTGCCCTTTGCATTCTCATGCTTGGACTTCTGCAACCACTTGGTGCTGCCGCTGCTCCTCTGAGCGATCCAATCACACCCGACACCTGTCCCTACATCGACGTCATCCAGGAGCCGAAGACTTCCTACTGGGACTACTTCTGGGATGCCATTGTGGTGCTGACCTTGGTGGTCTTTGTGGTGGGTACCTACCTCACCGGATGGGTACATGGATGGTGGATTGGAAGAAATCATGTTTTGAGACAAAGGCACATCCGAAGCGATCGCCTGTCTGCTCGCTTGGATGAGAAAGTGGTGGAGAACATCGCCCTGCAGGACCAGATCGAGGACCTGACCCGACAGGTCCAGCAACTGACTGTCCCTGGTGGACCGATCATTGCAGATCGAGAAATCCGACACCTGCAGCAACAGCTCAAGAGCCTTGAAGCCAGTTTTTGGCAGAAGGATCAACAGTGCCGCCAGATGAACCGGCACAAAATGGGTTACGTGCGACAGATTGGTCGCTTGAGAGCCATCTTCCAAGAAGCGAAAGATGTTGTAGGCCGTGCCCGAGCAGAAATCCACAATCATGTGCACAACAGATGCACGGTTGGCCGGCCCATCTATCATGCGCCTCGTGGACGCGTATGGCATCTGGACGATCAATGCTATCAGCTCTACCGCAGTGCAGTCATTGAGTTGCATGCCTGCGACAACTGCGCAAGCTTCTATGTGACCCCCGTACATCCATGACATGAACAACACTACGCTGGCCCAAGACATGGACAACTTCATGGCGAATGGGCTTGCTGATGAAGATCCCGAAGTGCTGGCCGAAGCCTCGGCGATTCTTGATGATGAAGCTCGCCTTCGCGCTGCCGGAGTTCCTGATGAAGAGGTTCGCATGGCGATGCAAGCGCGCGCTTCGAGCAGTTCTGGCGTGTGACGCCATTTTCCTTTTGTATGACCCAGATCCGAAGTGATCCTGCCAGTCCGAAACGGACACCTTTTTTTTTACAAAGAACTTTCCCCCATGTGAAGTTTGCATCCGCATCCTTTCAATTTCCGCTGCTGTATCCTATCCAGTGGCGGGACGTACGTTGTGAGCCATTGCGGCTGACGCATTGCCTCGCTTCTAGCAAAAGCGTGGCTGCTTTGCCGGCATCTTGCAGGTGGGGACTTCGTGGGCCTGTCACCTTGGTTCTTCACATATTATATTATATTATATTATATTATATTATATTATATATTCAACGCAAAATCAATTTCGAACAACCAATTCACGATGGCAGATTAATCAGATTAGACAGCATGTCCACTTCAAACCTGCTGTACGATTGCAGGTGTACCTGTGTAGCATCTAAAAATATGTGATCATCTGTGTGTGATTGAGTAGCTATTCTGAAGGCCTTAAATGGAGACGAGTCTATCTTGTCATCTACTTCCCAAATCTGCACTCGGAAGCGACTCTCTGAAGTTGAACACCTACTAAGTATCATCGGCACATACACAGCCAGTGCCTTTTTTCCAGAGTTCTGACTGCAGCACTGAATGACACCTGGGCTGCCCACTCTCCATTGGAAAATCCAAACATGAACAAGAACACATCAAACACATGGCCATGGGTCAAAACGGTACCCTGGTGGATATCAAAATAGCTGGACAAATTAATATGGATCTTCGGTTTACAACAAATATGGAACAGGTTTTACACCATCCCCCATCTTCCCCCATCTCTCCGTCGAGCCAGAGTCTGCCGCACTGCCTCTAACTTCCAAGATCTTAGGGTTCACCCATTTGCACATCTTCCATAGAGGAACATGTTTTATTTTGGTATCCCAGCTTCATAAGTATCTGACATAATGATCTTTATGATTACCATCATGATTACCATCATGTTCAGAAGTATCAGAGTTCCCATACAGAGAACATGTTTTATTTTCCCAGGACGCCAGGACAAGCCAGTGACTTTGGTGAACCAGCCATGGCGCCTATGATGGGCTTCCAGGCGTCGAGCCTGTGAGTCTTGCTGGCTTGCCACCAACAAAACATATGAAACATGTTGACAAATGGCGATACATGATAATATATTAATAATAAAAATGTCAGTGAATTTTTGCATCAAATCTGGCATCATTGCATCATCATCCCATATGATTTCCGATAATTGTGGATGGAGAATGATGGAATGTGTCATGAACATAATTAATATCATAACATATTATATCAAACACTTCTGAATACACAGAAGAAATTGAGATCTGCCAAGTGGGTGGCAGATCTAACCCGCCTCAACTGGGCTGGAGGCCTCTCTGATAAAGTCCTCCACGGACCCAGGTCAGCTGGTCAGATGTCACATCTTTATCTGGTTTGTGGTTTTAACCATCTTGAAACATATTAGTCAATGGGAAGGATTATCCCATATATTATGGAAAATAAGAAATGTTTGAAACCACCAACCAGTTATAATAGATAACCCATAGGATCCATGGTGCTGGTATATACTAGCTAACATGACTGGGGTATATTGATGGGATCCATGTTACCATATATAGCAGCACCATAGATCCTATGGGTAATAGATATCTTTAGGATCCTCATGACCAGGGGCTTAAGACAAATTTCTGATTGAACATTCTGAACATCGCCCAACACTTGGGGATATATATATATATGGATAATTATGGATAGAAATTCTCCAATACAAAGAATAAACAACTGCATCAACTGCATCAACTGGAATACCCTCCGCTAAACTAACATAGCTATTGAAAATGGCCATTTATAGTGGATTTATCCATTAAAAATGGTGATTTTCCATAGTTATGTTAGTTCACCAGAGGGTACTGGCGAAATTGACATGGTGAGCAGTACCGGTTCATCTCGTTTCCTCCCAATGTCGAGACTTCAAGGATTTCCAGGGGGCACCCGGGCACCATTTAACCATGGCTGCAGCGGTCCTGATTCACTTCCTCAGTCAGTTGCAATTGTTGGCTGAAAGCCACAATAGAAGCCTCATGTTTATAACTGTTTAATACTGTTTATATGTATGAATGCATGGTTCCTTCCTACATTGTTCGAGTGGGAAAGTGGAATACTTTTACAGTCTTTTACAACTACTCCCTCAATCACCATGGCTGTCTCCATTTCCAATACTAGTCGTGGATTTTCTATCAAAGGCTCTGCATCTATCTGAATCTATCAATCATGGAACAAACTTGGGGCGAGACGTAGTAGGGAGCTTTATCGTAGTCGATGATCAGGTGATAGCTCACAAAAAGCATCGAACTCAATAGGACGAGGGCGCCTAGTAGGATAGGAACGAGATGGAACGAGTGAACTGTCCAGAACTGTCCGTTGAACTGTCCCACCGCCATCCTTCAGTTGGAAGTAAGACGATACCCTCTGGTAATTTAACATAGCTATTGAAAATGGCCATTTATAGTGAGTTTTCCCATTAAAAATGGTGATTTTCCATAGCTATGTTAAATTACCAGAGGGTACTTGTAGGAACTAGCCTCCAATGATATCCCCAATGCTCCATTGATATCACCATCCATGGAAGAAAAGAACAACTTCGAATAACTTCGCAAGTTCTCACTCTGTGCACTTCAACTACGCTTGAACAACAATTCCAATAGGATCCATGTATGGTATGTATGCTAACATTGGGGGTATATTGATGGTAAATGTTAGCATACAGTATATATATATACCATACATGGACCCTATGGGATTATTCGGAAGTTGCCAACTTGCCTATTTTTACTGTGTCCCAACAACTCCTCTCTATGTCTGTTTTTCGCATGACGCCGCCTCCCAAACACACGACAGGCGAAGGCAAATCGATGGCTCCCTGAGCTGCAGGATTGCTCCCTTCGAAATTGCCGAATTTGGGACTGAATGGAGATTTCATTCAACCCCAAAACGGTGAAAAACGGATATAAGTTATGGTATAAGTGTATAATTAACATGATTCCCATTGAATCTATTTGATCCACAAATGGATGAACATTGGGTGATGACCCCCGGGCATCAGCAATTGGCCTGGCCAAGCTGCAAGGCAAACCATAAATCAAAAAGTTGGAAGCCCTAAAATCCAATAGATTCTATGTGATGTTATCATCTATGTATCATCTATGATTCGATTATTCTATTATTTTATCATCTATGATTCTATTATTATCATCTATAGTATGTATCATCTATGATTCTATTATTATCAGAATCATATGTCATATATATTTCCCATTTAAATGAGCCGTTTGCTGTGTGTAGCAGCCATTTTGATCTCCAGAGCCGTGGCGCCTGGAAGAGTTGCACCCTGGGTTGCCACGAGATGACCCTGAAAAGGACTTGTGCCTGGGGCGTCCGTCAATGCTGCGCGGATGCCTAGGAGTACGTCGTACGTAGAACATGGATTGGAAATAGTAGGCCCAAATGATGCCCAAATGATGGCTCCGATACGTTTCTTGCTCACTAGTGCGAAACATGAATGATACGAATCAATTGAAGAGACTCCTTGAATTGAACGGACCATTTTTCGAAATTTCATCCCAGGGATTCGGATCAGGCACAATTCGACCAATGAGTCGCTCCTGCAGAACACGGAAGGCCGCTGCGGAGCCAAAGAGCAAAGGTGCCAGCTTCGGCAAGGACACCTGGCTGTTTTTCCCTGTCAACCTTCGACCCGGAGTAGCACATGGGTTCTGAAAATAGATGAAAATAGGCCAATGTGGGTAAAACAATGCCATAAACCAGCCAGGGAATGGTAAACATATGTAAACATACATAAAAATACCAGCTATAAAAATGGTGATTGGATGTGATTTGGGGCATGGTCGGCCCATGTTAGCCCCACTTCCAGCGGGCCTGGAGGCTTTGAAGGCACTCCCAGCCTCCCAAGGCTTAAAAAAGGGGTCGACGACTGGAGGTTGCAGGTCTAAAAAAAGATAAAAAAGAACCCTTGGACAACGAAAAACAGGCCAAGATGAAATGATTTAGAATGTATATCTTCAAATTCTATTCACCTATTCGTTCTTTTTTAATATGTCCTCTTTCCAAACTGCAGAAATGAAAGTGCTTCGATGTTGATTGATATTTTTTGGGCCAGGAATTGCTCAAAGCGAGTCTGGCTGGTCTCGCTGGGGCCATGACTGCATCTGATGACCAACCTGGCGGAATGATTTTTCAGGATAGATTGGAACTACCACAGAAGATTCATTCTTGTTTTTGAAGAACCTGTCAGATTTCCTTGCTATCTTTTCTTGACCTTTCTTGCACATGTTCTGGTCAACCAAATTTGTTTGTTTCATTTTTTCCTTGTCACATCGTCGTTTTGTTTGTTTGATGACGACTTTCAATGTCAACCATCGTCGAATGAAGAAAAATTGGCGGCCCAAAACATCTCCTGGCTGTGGCTCTAAATGCCACCTCAACCATGTCAGGATTACAGGAGCAAAGTGAAGCCGAGTAGCAATGCAAAAGTGCCTGCAGCTTCATTTCCCAAGAATGTGAAGATGTCATCAACACTCAAACAGTATCAAACAGTCGTGTTTTCACCTCAATGCGCCAGAGATAACAATTCCTTGAAGCTTAAAGAACTACACATATTCTGAAAAACAAGGCCACAGAGAAATTGCTTTCCTGCTTGTTACTGATTCTTGCCTGATTGCTCCCCAACAGGCTCACCGACCCTTTCTTAATGGATCCTGCTTTCTCTCTTGACTCGCTCTGAGCATCTGGAATGACAGACATGTCCAACATGTCCACAACTGACAAGACATGGCTATGGATAGCTATCCCATAGGATCCATGTATGGTATATATGCTAACATTTACATACATTTACCATCAATATACCCCCAATGTTAGCATATATACCATACATGGATCCTATGGCTATGGCATGGGAATCACCCAGTCCCAGAATTCCCAGAATTCCCAGCCCATCCTCAACATCCCTTGAGCTGCTGACCATACTGTGCCTCGCTGTGGTTCAAGGCCGCCTGCCCGCAGACGTGGCAACGGAGCCGGGGCTTCCGTGGCAACGGATGCAACGGTCAGCCCCGAGTCGTCATCTGCCCGATGCCTCCATGCCAATGGCAAGGGCCAACCTGCCAAACCCAGATCGGATGGATCAAAATCAGTCAATTTTCCCATTGATCGCAGCTGACTGATTGGAACAAACTAGCGATCAAATTATGCAAAAATTAGACTTATAGAAAACTAATGAAAACTATGTCTGTTGATCAAACAGCTGAAGGCTTTAAGTGAAGACACAACACTCCAAGATACTCCAGTCGTCTTCCCAGCTGAGACATCAGCACCCAAACACGACCAAACTGGGCGCAAAGACTCGGTGGCTACTGATCCAGCACCACAAAGCACAGCAAAACACAGCGCTAAACGAGGAGGATCGATAAAGCGATCCTTAGTGCGGGTACAGAGCCACCCAAAAACGGTGGCACCACAAATCCCGGAAAGCCCAAGCTTAGGCCATCGTTCGGAATGGTCGACCAAGTCTCAAGACTATGAATTTGAAGCCTGGTGTATTCATGTCATCTCATGCTGCCTCATCCATGACCTTGTTTGGCTTCCTGCAGCTTTCGCGTCTGCAGCTTTCGCGTCTGCGAAACCCACCGGGCTGCCGCACCAAAGGTTTTTCACTGGGCAAGGTGCCAGTATCCCTGGGAGGGATACGGTCAAATCATGTCAGCTTATGTCCTGCAAAAAATTAGTGAGGGTCTCAGAACATACCGGAAAGTTGATACAACTTCAAGCTGTCAGCGCAGTTGAAGACAGAAGAAGGAAAACTATACAATTGTTCCTTTGTTAAAACATGAGAGTTCCATGCTACTAGCAAGGCACAACGACCACAACTGAGGATGAAACAACACAGTGTGCGAGACCAATGCAATTCCAGCCTAGTGGCGAGGCTGAATCCCAATCTCATACAATCTCACTGGACAGCTTTGGCCAACTTTGGGCAAATTTGGGTCCATGGATTCCAAACAAACATCACTTTGAATATACCTTTGCAGCATGCAAAGGAAAGGAATGCAATGACGAGATGGGAGGCAGTTGAACTAAGTTACCACCGTTAAGCGGTTCTTTTTACCCCTTTTAGGCGCGGGCGAAAAGGCAAATGAGGCATGCGAGCAAATAGGCCTTGGACCACTGGACAGCTGCATTGGCTAAGCAACAAAAAACGGCTTTGGACAACCTACGAAGCTGTGAGCTTTGGGTGAAACTTCACAAAAAAAAGCTGGTCCTGGGACGGAAAAGATGCGAAAGAGGCTGGCAGGTGGGTCAAATTTCGACAAACTGAAACAACGAGAACCAATGTGGTAAACACAATTAGCTGTTTTAGCACCAACTTATGGATACTTAATATTTGGGGATGGTTGAAGCATTGGGTTTACCACAGCAACTTCATAACATGGTGACACGAGTCTCCCACCGCCAGTGCAGCTGCCGGGAATTGCCCAAAACCCTCCAAGCGCCGCAGACACTCAAGGCCGTAGGATGGACCCTGCAAAGCCAAGGCATTGCTAGCCGCGGGGCCACGGATGGCCACGGGGCATTACAGAGAAATGACCGAAGATGACCGAAGAGTTGGGGTTGTTCCTAGCCTTGACCGCTTTTCCAGAAATAGAAAAGCGCATTACTTTGCCTCAGTCAGCGGCATTTACACCTGTTTAGACATGCATCATCAGGACGCATAGCGTGTAAACAACAACATTGAACAATTATTGTCATTTGAGCCCTGAAGTGTACACACACACACATCACACATTCATACACATTCATTCTCGATCCAAGTGATTGAAATGCTCACTTGGACACAAGATGGTAACGAAACAATCTGCACTTGAAGCACATTGCCTCCAGCTGTCTTGCTAATCACTTTGGGACTGTTGTATATCCAAGTTGCCATGGGAGCAAGGCAACGTGGGGACATTGACAGACCGGCTATGCAAGCTACACCGGCCACTCAAGATACATCAAGATACCACTTTCGGTGGACAAAGATATTTACTGTAAGAATGATTAGCTATTTAGATACTAGTATATGCATAGATATGCATGGGTATACAGTATACATCATCCGAACGCATAGCGTGTAAACAACAACATTGAACAATTATTAATTATTGTCATTTGAGCCCTGAAGTGTACACACACACACACATCACACATTCATTCTCAATCCAAGTGATTGAAATGCTCACTTGGGCACAAGATGGTAACGAAACAATCTGCACTTGAAGCACATTGCCTCCAGCTGTCTTGCAAATCACTTTGGGACTGTTGTATATCCAAGTTGCCATGGGAGCAAGGCAACGTGGGGACATTGACAGACCCAATAAAGAGTATACATAACTTGGTAGACAGTGAAGGCATGAAGCAAAGGATCGCTTGATGAATGGAATCAAGTTCTAAATAGCAGCTGTTTCCGAAGCAGATCCCAGCACTTGAAGGTTTGACCCACCCCACAATTCATCTGCCCGCGCTGCGTGTTCCAATTGGTTTGCCCGCCGACATCAGCCATACCCCCAGTCCTACATTGAACTTTGTTCATGAACAAGGAAAACAACATCAAACAACTATGACCAGAAAACATGTGCTCATGTCTTGCCTCAATAACTCGCAATAACTCGGAGGAGTTCGCAGTGATTCCCCAATTACCACCGACTTCGCATCGTCCACCGATAAAACCCCTGGGCCTGGAGCGGCCAAGGAGCGCTGAGCTGCATAGTAACAGCACCTCGGTGACTCGGTGCTGGTGATGATTTGGTGCTGGGGAACATATGGGAACATAGCCATTTAATGCCATGCCATGCCATTTTTATTGGAGGAACACCCAATAGCTATTCCAATTGAAATCCATTGGAATCGGGGGAACCTTATTGGGAAGCCTATTTTCAGAGAAAGCCATGTAACCAATTTGATCCAATTTGACTCTTGAGACATTGCTGTAGCTGGAGCGAGCTTTCAAGTGCTTACACACACGGCTGTTTGATGGAGCAAGTTCTCTGCTCGTATAACTCTACAAAGTCATCTCGAAGTTTCGAAGTTCAATTTCACGTTCTTTCTATACCGAGCAGCAACAAAGTGCGCTATATGATATTGTGCTCATTAAAGACCAGGAATTGATGACCATCATCCACTGCCAGTCTTGCAATCTCATCTTCAAAACTGAGATTAGTGTAGTGTTTGGGAAGAGTAAGTGCCACACTCACAAAGGTGAGCAAATAGTTGGCAACCTCCATGCAAGTTACGCAAGGCAGTGTGGAAGGGAGTGTCAAGTTGTGTTTTTTCAGGTCTGAGGAGTGGAAAGACCAGTAAGAAATGGTGAAATATTCGCAGTTTCGGTGAACTTATGCCCACATGGAATCGAAATACTCATTGGCAAATTGGAGCATGAAAATCATGAAATATACTTGTCACAAGGGGAAGCAAGTTGTTGCCCCGCCTCCATGCAACTGGGCAGTTTTTCTTCAAACCTGGCAGACGACTTTCCAGGACATGTTCCACAATCCCAAAGGACCAAGGATAGGACTCGGAAGAAAGGTCCAAGGGGTTGGCCGTGTCTAGATGTTGAGGAAGCTTGTGGAGTCGTAGATTCTATAGGGTTTTTCATATCTGAAACTGCAGAATCCACACCTTTACTTTGCAATTTTGAAGAACCAGTCTGAATCATGATCATGGTCATCATGACCATGATCAGCGATCATCAGTGACAGAGTAGCAGTCTGGCTTCTCAAGCAGAACAAACTCAGAGTCCTCCATATGGAGGTTTCCTAAAATGGGGGTACCCCCCCACATCATCCATTTTAGTAGGATTTTCCACTATAAACAATTCATTTTTGGGTATCCCCATTGATGAAAACCCCCATATCATTGTGTTTCCAATCAACTGGCTGGGAGGACCAAGTTTGCACCAGGAGGCCTGTGGGTGTGTCCACGGCAAATGATGAGTCAAAACTCTTGCCAGCGTGCTGGGGTACACTGGCCGATGTTTACTTGTCTTCTTAATGTTCCCACCACCGTTACATAAGTGTTAAGTATGTATATATAGCAAACACGATACACGATTTCACTGCACATCTTTGGCCATTTGCGGCTTGTTTGCGCACCGTCTTTCTCCTCTGCAATTCACTCGCAACGTTCGCCCAGGACATCTTCGCCATTGGGCCACCACGCAAAAAGGCAAGACTGCACTCAAGGCCGCCATATACGGCGCTGATGTTGGAGTGTCAGCATTGGGTGACAGGGCCTAGCCACCGGGGCCAAACCATCGTAAGGATGCGACCCAAAAGCATCCAGTTGGTTGTGAAGTAATATGATGCAGCTGAGCTTTAACCGGCGAACAAAGGGAGAAAAACAATCCCAGCAAGTCATAAGCTACTAGGAATTTAGGAAGATATCAGTACGACAATAACTAAACAACTTCAGCACTTTCACGCAAAAGGATTGCATTCATATAAATGTCGGGGAAAACAACCAAACATGTGCCTATTTCTCAAGGACTAAACAACCACCAAACGACTCAGAAGATCTGTCAGAAAACGGTGCGCCCTGAGCCACCGGCCGAGGAGACACTCAAAGCATATCCGGCAACAAAGACCTGCCGAGGAGCCCCTTCACCTATGAATTATATATATATATTATTAATACATTATACATCATCAGGTATCTGTTTTTTCTGTACGTTTTTTCTCCTTATTTTTGTGATTATCAGTTATCTGATATTCTCGGCGATAATGATGATAAATGATCGCCCCACTGAACATCATCATTGCCCAAGAATGGCAGGATCACCATTGCACCACCATAGAAAGATGAGCACCTTGGAGCTTCAGAGAGCTGTTGAGAATGCTTCCAACCTTCACCAAACATCCATCATAATTGACATTATGACTAGCTGATTAAAGCATATTAAAGCTATCAACATTATCGACAACTATATGCACTTTGCAGCATTAACCAATTTATTATCAGACCTTCAACGTCACACCGACAGGTGTCTGAGGGCAAGGCCCAGAAGTGTTACCAGTCGGCCTGCCACATACCCCACATGGATCCAAATGATAAAAACAAATCATTTGGAAAGAATGATGATCATCCTTTCCATATCAATTTTTGGTAGCCGCTCTTCTTCAGAGAATCCCAAACAATTTTCTGGGAATATCAGTGGGAATACTCCCACTATATTCCAACAAACCTATCTTTATCCTCCATGGAATCTCCCCTGCGTCGCCTGGCCAAAAGGCCCAGCCCCAAGGCCCAGCACAAGGAGGCACCTGACATGGGGATCGGATGGCACGAGGAGGCACCTGATGGGATGTTTCAATATATCATATGATAGGATTTGGCTATATGGTCACCGACAGAATTATGGAAAAAAAAAACCGTTCAACTTAGACAGGCGGCGCCTGCGTCCGATTTTTCCATAATTGCATTTTTCCCCATAAGGGTTCAAAATATCCCGGAAGTGATCCGAACCTTTTTTTTTCCATAATTCTTGGAGGTGGCCATTATTTCCATAATTGATTTTTCCTGTAAAATCAGGGGGCTAGGGCAGATTGACCGGTTTTTCCATAATTATTTTTTCCATAATTATGTTTTTCCATAATTATTTTTTTCCATAATTAATGTTTGGGGCTCCACCTGTTGGACATGTCATGGATCCACAATTCAAACCCGTTTTTTTTGGGGTTATGGAAATATGTATGCAAATGCATGTAGTATCAACCCAATTGGTGGCTTGGCAAAAGGAAACATCCCGAATATGTATGTAGTATCCCGAATATGTATGTACGCACACATATTTTCTATAATTCAATATTCCCCCTTAAAATGCATTCAAATTGCGAACATCACATGATATTATGCATATCAATGGCAGGCTTTAGGGGCATATACCAGATCTTTAGACACATATTTTCTATAATTCAATATTCCCCCTTAAAATGCATTCAAATTGCGAACATCACATGATATTATGTATATCAATGGAAGACTTAGGGGCATATACCAGATCTTTAGACACAAATTTTCTATAATTCAATATTCCCCCTTAAAATGCATTCAAATTGTGAATCGATGGACATACAGTCACCGACAGAATTATGGGAAAAAAATAATTATGGAAAGATTAATTATGGAAAAAAAAAGGTTCGTAATTTTTCTATCATAGACAGGCGGCGCCTGTAAATTGAAACGTTTTTTTTTTCCATAATTCTGTCGGTGACTGTACATATATATTAATGATTCATGATTATATATAGTGTATTAACATTACATTATACCTTAACTTGTGACTATTATATACTATTATGGGATTTGGCTGGGTTGGATGAGGACTGGAGTTCGATTGAATTACCAGGATAAGAGCAGCATAGCCAATATATGTCTGCTCAACTGCGACATATTGAAACAGTTTCGAAGACAAAGATTCATTAAACACATTCCTGGCACAGAACATGAAAACTATAACATGGTGTCAACTCTGAGCCTCTCCATATTTTATGGCTCATTAAATGGTCATTATTCTGGTCTGAAATCAATATAATTTAATGATCAAACTCATCAAATCCAGTGGAGTCTATCATCAGAAATTATCAACTTTGATAATAATCATCTTTGGGGGATCACCATTATACTGATTGGGTTAAGCCACAGTTGATCATCAACTTTCCCATCAAGTTGGCTCCACCGATTGGGTTATCCCGTTATCCCCCCGATGGACAAAGCCTACAGCTGTTGCTAGAGGCTCCACCGCAATTTCCATTGCCCCTGGCCACGTGTGGTGAGAGAAGGGGCCCACGTGCGGCACTTGAAATCGTTTTCAACGGCCCCACCAGATGCGTCCTTTTGTTCCATTTGGTGAGTTCTTTTTACGATTTTTTTTGGAGATTTTGGAGTAATTTTGACCCGTACTCCAATATGTCCGCCAAAAACATGACAAGAAACCTTCAGCGTACATCATCTGCTTTGATTCCATCACCTCCCGGCGTGTGGTTTTTCTGGTTGCACAATTGCAATGAGTGCTGATGGTGCCATGATTGCCTATGGAAGTACAAGGGACAAAACGTCACAGTCATGCCAAATCCTTCCCATCCATGCATCAATACCAAAAGCAATACCGCGAAGCAGAAAGAACGGATAAGCAGAATTAGTAAATATCCACTGCACTGCACACAAATTTCAAACGATATCCTGGCAGCAGGGCTCAGATTTTATTTCGTCATGCAGGCCACTCTGAAACCGAGTGCATTCAGAGGCCATTCCCTGTACATGCCATGAACTTCGTTCTGGCCATTTCGCGCCATAAATGGATATAATGGCAATTTCGAGCCTTCCAGCGGATTCACCAGAACTACCACATAGATCCACATAGAAGTTTGTTACTTTGTGGAGAAATCTGCGATTTGACGGCGAGATCATTTCATCTTTTAAGACAGTACATCTATAGTGCACGGTGTCAGCAACGCAATGGGCACCACATCTGGATTCAGTGGGCCTGGAAGAGGACAAAGTGGATACGAGCATCAAATCAAAACGCAAGATATTTTTGAACAGCAGGTAAGAAATGAGGAAAATCATACAAGAGATGGTAATTGAATGGTAATTGAGGAACAAAGAAAAATACATTGGCTGTAGTCACTAGTCTATATAGTTGAGTGTAACCAAACTGAGTGTTTTGGGGCTGTCCCGAACGGTTGATGTGTTTTGTTATCTCTGTCCGTGATTTGGTCTCAAGATGCGGGTGTGAAACACAGCAAAGTTGAGATCCTACAGTATTTGGAGTAGCGGAACCTAGCGGACCTGAGTTCCCCCCAAATGTGTCTTTGTGACTCCGCAATGAGGCTTTCAGATGTGTTATCTGAGTTTTCTTCAAGACACATTCGTGCCCGAACAGAACATCAAATTCGCTGGCAATTTTCGAAACGCCACGAGAAAAAAGGAAATGCCATCCAAAAAACGGCAGGTTCGCAGCTGATCAGCTGCCAGAAAACGAATCATGCAATCTCACCCTCCAGGCCGGCCCCCCACTGCTTGGTAATGCCAGGTCAGAACCTCCGAAACTTGTGCATTGCGCCTTCGTCCAGCAAACCTCCAACCCATCCTACAGGGTAGTTGCTGGGTTAAATTGGAAAGCTCAATGCCTTCAATGTTTTGAGACTTTGCCTTGAAGTCCTGGTTCAAACATACTGAGGATGTCTGCGCAATATCTGAGGATAGCTAATTCCCAATGCATATAGAATCAACTACCCTCTGGTAAACTAAAATGGCCATTTATAGTGAGGTTTCCCATTAAAAATGGTGACGTTCCATAGTTATGTGATGTGATGCTATGTGAACGTTTACCAGAGGGTAGTTTTCGGAACTATCTTGCCCCGCCTGAACCACTCGTCAATGATCGAAGCTCGCTGCCACGTCTGCTCAAAGACTGGAAGTGACTCGAGCAGCAAGCCGTTACCTCATGAGATAAGCAACTTACGATAACCTACGTCATGTATGTCTGCTTGTCTTCTTTGTTGAGGGTTTCTGAGCATTTTTTAGGAAATAAAGCGAATAGAAACAAATGCTACCAACAAGGTCAAGTTGCAGGATCGCACAACTTGTGCAAAATCAATCAACTCAAGCAAGCTGCGCTCAAAGTCCATCACCCGGTCTTCCATCAGCTCCTCTCATCCCGAACTCGAAGCCCATAGAGGGTCTATGAAGGTCTGATCAAAATGGACAGTTTTCACAATATCGAAGTCACAAAGTCTTCCAAACTGAATCCATCCCTCTGGACGATCGAAATGGGTTTCCCAATGGTTTTCCTATGGTTTTCCTCACTGCGATGGAATTGCGTTTGTTCAAAATCTGGATGGCTTGACATCGATATAGTCCTAGGCAAATGGCCTATTCTGAGCCGAGATCGCTTTTGAATCTCTCCACTTACCATTGGTGTTTCATCTCAAGAGTCTCAACCCAATAGTATTGTCAGTGGCCCATCTAGTGATTTCATGTGATTTCTACATATTTCTACGTGCTTTTATGTATTTCTGGCGCCCAGTATCCGTGTATCCCTTTCATCGCTGTCCTAGCCGCGAAAAAAAACTGCATGGCTCAACCCAAAAATTTCACGGCACCCTCGGTCTTTCATCCAGCTGTGGCGGTTTTTTCGCCTTACGTTGCGGCACCAACATCGCCAGCTTGTTGCGCCATGGCACTTCCTCAAGAGCAGGGACTTGCATGGAAACAATCTGGTGGTAGCACAGTGACATGTGATCAAATGATTGCATTCCTACATGGCGTGGGAAATTCGGTAGCCTCCGTAGCCTGCGCTGAGTGCAAAACATATGGGTTTTCTTGCTCTGAGTTTTGCTGTTTTGCAACTTAACGGTTCCATGTGAGACCATGGTAGAAATGTTACAAAGGAACATGATGAAGCGAGGGTGCCAGGGATGGACGTGTGGAGCCATTCAGTCAAAAAACAAGAGCCATTTCCTATATAGGAATCCAAGTTGGACAATCCTGGAGTGTAGAAACCGATGCGAACAACGACACTAAAGTCACTAGAGTTTGGTTATCTTCGGCATTTGAAAAGACTGCTTGGATCTGCTTGATGCCTTAGTGTGATTTCCATCCGTTAGTTCTGCACTCTGTGGAAAAAGACATGTTTCATCATCATGTTTCATTGGCAGCACAAGCAAGCACAGCAAGAATGCAATGGCTACGTCCCAAGACTCTAGATTCTAGATCTCCGAAAGAATATCCCAATGAGTTAGCTACTGTACATGTCGCAACATTACTGAATTCATGCAACAAAGTCTTGCTTGAGCTCCCCCTTCTTGTGGGTCCCAGTCCATCGGTTGCACAGCCACTGGTGCGATGGGCTGCTGTAGGAGGTTGGGGTAGCTGACATCACCTTCAGGTTGCTGCATGGCGAGCATGTAAGTGGCGATCGGCAAACTTTGCACTGCTGGGTGGCCAAATGGCTGCACAATGGAACATGCATCATGGCTCAAAAAATCTGAGGGCCACAGTGCCACAGTTCGGCCATGTCGTTGTAAGTCTCCTCAAAAGAAACTCGTGGCAGTCATTGTAAGTCTATGTAAGTTTCAGAACCCCACTTCATCTGTCATCCAGTTTTGCCGATCTGGGTCCTTGGGTACTTTGCAGGCACCTCGAATCGGAATCATCCATTTGTCCCTGACAGCCTCCATACGGCTCAAGCAACAAGGGAAAATCACTCTCAAGGAACTTGGAATCTTCATAGTCATCACTTTCAGTCAGCTGGAGTGGACAACAAAATCCTTCCTGTAAGCAACATTTACTACACTTCTACAAACTGTTTGTGGGTGTAAAGACAAAACCTTACAGAATCCTCAGGATCCCGACATTCAATTTATGAATCTAATCTTGTCCCATCTTTTTCACTTGGTATTGTTCGTGACCATTTAAGACATCTCACCGTACCTGAGAAAAAAACAACTCAAACCGTTTGAACGTGTTTGAACATTTAACCAGCATATATGCATCAGTTTCGTTGAGAACACCAAAACAAATCAACGAAAATCGAACCTTGGCATGGCTTCAAACAGCTCCAAACGATGCAAGAACGATTTTCAGGTTAATGCATCTACAGTAATCCGTCTTTCTACATGTGTTTGCGACATATATTTTCAAACTGTCCGTAAAAACCAAACACACATTGAACATAATTGAACACAACTCATCAAACATCAAACACGGTGCATGCTGCCAGTCGGTCATGTTCTTTGTTGAATCCGCCAACTTGATTTCCTTGGAAGATTTGGAAGGCATTAGGAGGTCAATTTCAACTTGATATCATTTGACCGCATGATCCTCCAGTGCATAGCATGGTAAGACTTGGGCCGAAAGCTATGCCGCATTTGTTTCTCCGACCTGCCCCCCCCAGCCCCAAATCAAAGAAACAGATTCATGGCTGTCCCTCGGCTCTACCCTTACTCAACTTCAGCAGTTTCCCATTTGGTTTCATCGGGAAAGTCTGTTTAGCAGCTGTAAAGTTGCCACAATTTTCCTCGATAGCCCGACAACTGAGAGTCACTTCGCAGGTGAGACAGCTCACTCAGCCCTCAAACAGCGAGACACCAACACACACCAACATGGATGGACTGCCAACACTTCTCTCAAGCAAATTGTGAACAAGAAAATGAAGACAGCGACAGCGGGTTGAACCCTTGGCTTCCCATGGTATCCCCAAATCATCCCAAATCCAATGGGTTATCAAATGTTTCCCGACGATTGGCATTTTGTGGTATGTTCCATGGTACAAACTAAACTCAGGCAACACTTCACTGCAGCGTTGATCACCTGACACCACCCCCATCTCATGATCTTTTGTAAAGACAAGAACGGTTCTACCAGACATCCACAGTATTGCTGACACAGCAACGAAATGAAGATAGTTCAACCAACTCCAGACATCTTCGTTCTACTTGTATCCTGGCAGCACGTTACTGTTTTCTTCCCAAATAATGCGGATCGGATACAGCAAGCCAATCTCTCAATTGAATGAGTGAGGCCATTCCCGAAAAACGCCACCGGAACTTTGTTCCTGGTCATTTCAGGCCATAAATGAAATGGCAATTTCGAACCCCACTCTGGATTCACAAGGACCAATGATTGGCTGATTATATTGGATAATGTCGGATAATGTCGGATATATGGATCTATATTATTCTATATTCTAATATTGAATGGGATATTTATATGTTCTAAAGATTTCTAAAGTCTGTGTGATTCCACGGGTGAGGCCTTGAACACGTAAAGGCTGCGCAAAGTGTGGCAAACTGAACCCGCCGTTTACACAGGACTGGTGCAGCGATGGGAAAGTTGTTTTTTGTGTTTTCTTTTAAATTTGAAACCGCGAAAAAAAAGAACACGCCATTCGTTTTCCAGAGGCAGAATCGCGGCTACCCGAAAGCCAAAACAGATCCAAATAGTCATGCAAACACACCCTCAAAATGCTTTGCACATCTTTGCACTCAGCGAACGATGCCCTGTCCCACCGCGCAAAAATGCCAATTCAAAACCTCTGAGACTTGGTTCCTTCTCTCTCGCCGTCGCCATCTGGTGTTGGCACAGTCTTGAGCAAAACTCCAGCCCATCCTACAGAGTTCATGGGCAAAATGAAGGGCCTTTGCCAAAACACTTCAATCGCATTGCAAGGAACCATGAAATTCTACTGGGAACTCCACAAATTCCACAGTAACCCTGGCCTTCCAGGTTTTAATCATGTGCTAGCGCCAAACGACCACGCCCCATGGATGAATTGTGTGTCCCCCTTGAAATTGTGTTGGATTTTAGCCCCAGGATGCCCCTTGGAGTAGAATGGACGTTGCTTGCGCAAATCTCGGGGTTGCAAAACAAGTCCAACAGAGGAAAAATCTGTTCGATCAGATTGTGATACTGATTACAACCATGGTGTGACTCTGACCCATCTTGACCCTCGCCTCAACCACTCCTCCCGAATGATGGCGGCCCGCTGCCACATTTGCTCTTCAAAGGCTGGAAGTGGTTCAAGACCACCTTGCTTACAGCATGTTCTGTGTTTGCGTGTATGAGTGTGGAGCCTTGTGGTGTTCTTTTTTGAGTTGTTCATGTTTTTTCAGATGCGAAATCAAAAAGAAACTACTACTGTACCGGCAAGGTCAAGTTGCCACCAAAACTTGCTCGGACGGACCGAACCAGTTCAACCAAGGCAAGCAAGCTGCCCTGGAATTCCCTCACCTGTGCTTGCATCCGCTCCCTGATCACATCACGAACTTGAATCCAGAGGGGATCTACGAACCAAACGCCGTTGTCACAATAAGACTCAACATGCCCAAGCGCAATGTTGCCATCCGTGGATTGATGGCATAGCTCTTCCAAGCTGAATCTTTCGGCCAGGAATATGCACAGCCTTGCCTTTGCCGCTTCTTCTTGATCCCAGCCTGACGGTTCTGCAGCCACTGGAGCTATGATGTGCTGCAGTAGGTTGTCGTTGAAGGGGCCCCAGCAACCAGCCCAACAGCATCTTGGAAGTCCTCTCTCGATCAATGCCATCAGCAGGTCTGCTCCAAGCCCAAAACGCAAAGCACTGCGGGTACAGCTGCGCCGATTGCAGCCGCAGGAATGCCCCTGCACGAGTTTCCACACATCACTTTTCACCGTTTCTTTGTTCATGTGAAGGAAGGATTCTTCCACTCTTTGAGGATCTGCTTTCTGTCTAACAAGTTCGATGGTCATTAAAGCGAATGTCTTGTGGAGGAAATCTTCAAACGCGTCACCCGGCCAAAGCTTGTCGTAGAAGTCCTCATAGCTGCGAGGCCCGCGGTTGGCGAAATCTGGATCAGCAGCGCGCATCAAGTCGTCTGCTTCATGGAGTCCTTGGAGAAGGCGCAAACAACGATGAAGAAGTGTTGGGCCGATATGGCCTTCCATTGCATTCACCTGGAATCGTCTCAGCATGGAGATGCAATTTTATTGAGTTCAATAGAATATAAACCGAAAAAACGAACCATGGGATGTTGGTTTTTTCGGACACACCCACCTGATTGCTTGAAAGACTCAGCAAAGCTGAAGTCCAAAGAGTGAAGACATTTTCGCACCAGGCCTGGCCTCCGTGCTTGCACAGTTTGAAGGCGTAGCCGATGAGCAGCTTGGGATCCAGCAATTCTTCCAAATTCTCGTAAGACAATGTCAAGTCATCAATAGCAGGAAGTTCTTCCGGAGAAAGCAATAACACATCAGCAAGCATGTACTGAAGCGAACCTTCCAGGGCACATCAGGGCACGAGTTCAAACGTGCTTGATGACATCTTTGGCATGGGACGCAACACGAATGAAACGAACATCCAGACTCTTGGGGCATGCATCGCTTTTCTGCGCTGTGAATCTGTTGCTTCCCACCCTTGCCTTGTTCCAACCATTCCCAAGTCTCAGGGTTGACAGGGTCATCATCCTGGAGTTCCGTGCTAGCGGTGCTGGCATCCATGTGAATGAGCCGAATCCAATGGACAGAGAAGGGTGTTCCAGGAGTACCTTAGCTGGATATCTGCAAGAAATAACTCTCGCATTCGATCATTCTGATGCGCCCTACAGTTAGATTTAGATAGAAGTCCGACCTTATTTCGCAACTTTCATAGACAGGTCCCTTTTAGCTTTGGAGGATGACCTTTGAAAGGCAACTCATTGAATGCTAATGGAATGGAATCCACAAGGGATAGCACACAGTAATAATACACAGTATATATACAATACAAAATCTTGGCCTGAATCTGGACAGCTACGGCATATCATGGTATCATTTTTGGCAAGGCATCGCTTCAAGTCTGTGACGCTCACAATCTTGTTTGCTTCATGACGGGTGAGAGGAACTTCCAGCAACTCTCCGGATAAGCGAACCACCCGGAGGCAAGGGTTGCTGACGTCACCTTCAAGTTGCTGCATGGCGAGTCTCTCGCTATTTGTGAGTGGCGATGGGCGAACTTGGAACTTCTGGGTGGCCAAATGGCTTCATAGTTCAGTTAGCAGTTAGCTAAGCGTGCATCTGGCTGGAAAAATATGAGGGCCACAGTGGCACATCTCCAGCACTATCTCAGCGAGCACGGAACAAACTCGTGGCATGTCATTGAAGGCACCTCCGAATCATCGGTTTGTCGCCTCACAGCCTCATGGGCTCAACAAAGATAGATCACCCTCAAGGAACTTGGAATCTTATAATCGTCTTTCACTCAGCTGGAGGGGACAAGAACATCCTTCCTAGAACAAACATTCTCTACAATTCTACAAACTGTTTTTGGGTGTATACAGAAAGCCTTGCCGGATCCTGCGAAGTGTTCATTGAAAGTCGAAACTCTGCAAGATCAACTGATGTAGATATCTTTCTTATCCCATTCTTTCCCTTGCTGTTACTCGTTCTTGGTTTATCTGCACAGCATCTCTCACCTGTGAAAAACCCAGCTCACTAAAAAATAAACAGTTTGAACATTAACATCATTTAAACAGTATGTATCAGTATGGATCAGTACCGTCAAGAGAACCAACAAAATCAACAAGAATCCAGCCTTGGCATGGCTTCAAACAGCTCCAAACGATGCAAGAATGAGTTTCAGGTTGCATCTAATCCGTTTTTCTACATGTGTTTGCGACATGTTTTCAAACTGTCCATTAAACCAAACACATTGAACACAATTCATCAAACATCAAACAAGGTGCATGCTGCCAGTCGGTCATGTTCTTTGTTGAAATCCGCCAACTTGATTTCCCTGGAAGGCATCAGGAGGTCAATTTCAACATGATATCATTTGACCGCATGATCCTCCAGTGCATAGCATGGTAAGACTTGGGCCGAAAGCTATGCTGCATTTGTTTCTCCGACCTGCCCCCCCCAGCCCCAAATCAAAGAAACAGATTCATGGCTGTCCCTCGGCTCTACCCTTACTCAACTTCAGCAGTTTCCCATTGGTTTCATCGGGAAAGTCTGTTTAGCAGCTGTTTGCCCACCCGATGCAAAGCTGCTATGATTTTGCTGGATATAACTCGATAAATGAGAGTCACTTCGCAGGTGAGACGGCTCACTCCTCATGCTTGCGATATGAACAGGTTTTATCAAAAACAGAGTCACCAACATGCACGGACTGGCTCGGACTGCCAACACAAAACATCTCTCAACGAGACAAGCGATGAAGAACGGGTATCCCATGCCTCCAAAATCCCATGGCTCAGTGATCACCTGCACCGACCAAATGAAGCTGTCAACAATTCTATGCATCCACAGTATTGCTGACACAGTAGAGAAACTAAATGGCACTGAATGAAGATCAGCCGAAGCAACGACATCTTCTGTTTGACGTTTTCTAATATGTTCTGATCGTATCCTGGCAGCGCATGCTGTTTTCTTCCCAAATAATGCGGATCGGATACAGCAAGCCAATCTCTCAACTAAATGAGCGAGGCCATTCCCGAAAAAACACGCCACCGGAACTTTGTTCCCCGTCATTTCAGGCCATAAATAATATAGATAAATGGCAATTTCGAACCCCACTCGGGATTCACAAGGACCAATGATCGACTGTAAACTTAGGACTGCAACCTGTGACTGCGAACCTAGCTAAATCCACAACCAAAAACTCATTACATTTGAAAGACATCAGCAGTGCAGGTAGCCGAAGAAAAGGGAAACAATGTAGAGGACCTAGGAATACAAACAAATGAATGTAGTATGAGATATTGGAAACGGACAGTCACAGTCATGCCAATCCCAGCCATCCATGCATCAATTCGAAAACCAATGCCGCGCAGCACAAAGAACGAACAAGCAGAATTAGTGAAACTCCACTCTCTGCATACAAATTTCAAACGATATCCTGGCAGCGGGGCTCAGATTTTATTTCGTCGTGCAGGCCACTCTGAAACCGAGCGCATTCAGAGGCCATTCCCTGTACATGCCATGAACTTCGTTCTGGCCATTTCGCGCCATAAATGGATATAATGGCAATTTCGAGCCTTACAGCGGATTCACCAGAACTACGAGTTGTAAGTCTGTTACTTTGTAGAGAAATCTGCGATTTCAATGCGAGATCATCTCATCTTTTAAGACAGTACATCTAGTGCACGGTGTCAGCAACGCAATGGGCACCACATCTGAATTCAGTGGGACAAACAATATCACTCGAATCCCTGGAAAAGGAAGGAGGATGAAAGGGTAGCAAAGAAACAGCAAAAAATGCTGAGATGAACAAAGTGGATACGAGCATCAAGTCAAAGCGCAATTTCGAACAGCAGTCAAGACATGAGGAAAATCATACAAGTCAAGAGATGGTAATTGAGGAAAGGAGAAAAATCGTGTTGGCTAGTTGAGTGTAACCAACTGCGTGAAGGGGCTGTGCAAACGGTTCTCTCTCTGTGATTTGGTCTCAAGATGCGGGTGTGAAACACAGCAAAGTTGAGATCCTACAGTATTTGGAGTAGCGGAACCTAGCGGACCTGAGTTCCCCCCAAATGTGTCTTTGTGACTCCGCAATGAGGCTTTCAGATGTGTTATCTGAGTTTTCTTCGAGACACATTCGTGCCCGAACAGAACATCAAATTCGCTGGCAATTTTCGACATGCCACGAGAAAAAAGGACATGCCATCCAAAAAACGGCAGGTTCGCAGCCAGAAAACGAATCATGCAATCTCACCCTCCAGGCCGGCTCCCACTGCTTGGTAATGCCAAGTCAGAACCTCCGAAATTTGTGCATTGGCCTCTCGTCCAGCAAACCTCCAACCCATCCTACAGGGTAGTTGCTGGGTTAAATTGGAAAGCTCAATGCCTTCAATGTTTTGAGACTTTGCCTTGAAGTCCGTGTTTCAAGCCTGTTTTGTCTGAAAACAGTGGTCCTAAATCATTAAAATGTGGTATCACTTTATCATATTTTTCGGCATACCCCACTTTCAGACCCACCCATATTGAGGATATGGATAGCCAAGGACTATAGTGCAACATAGTGCATGGAAGCAACTTTCTCTTGGGAACCATCATGCCCCGGCCTCAACCACTCGTCGCGAATGATGGAAGCTCGCTGCCACATCTGCTCTTCAAAAGCTGGGAGATAATCCAGCGGATCGAGACCACCTCGTGAGGCAGTCTCTCTAAGGCTTTCTCAGCATTTTTTTCCGGAAATGAACAGAAATGAATGATAATGAATGGGATAATGGATGATAATGGAAATGAATCAAAAGTTGCCAGCAAAGTCAAGTTGCAACCTGAACTTGATCGGACCGACCGAGCCAGGTCAACCAAGGCAAGCAAGCTGCCCTGGAACTCCCTCACCTGCCTTTGCATCCGCTCCCTGATCACATCACGAACTCGAACCCATAGAGGATCTGCCTGAAACGGAGAGTTTTCACAGTATTGCAGCACATACCAAAGCGCATTCTTGAAGTCCCTGTTTTGATAGCACAACTCTTTCAAGCTGAATCTTTCGGCTAAGAATGTGCAAAGTCTTGCTTTAGCTCCCCCTTCTTGTGGGTCCCAGTCCCCTGGTACTGCGGCCACTGGAGCCATGATGTGCTGCAGGAGGTTGTCCTCGTAGAAGTCCGAGTGGCCTGCCCAACACCATCTTGGAAGTCCTTTCTCGATCAGTGCCATCATCAAATCTGCTCCAAGGCCAAAACGAAGACCCACAGAGCAGCAGCGCGGATGCCCCTGCACAAGTTTCCATAGATCACTCTTTGCCTTTTCTCCATGATCAATGTAGTGGAAGGTTTGTTCCACTGTTTCAACATCCACTTTTTGCCTGACAAGTTCAATGGTCATTGAGGCGAATGTCTTGTGAAGAAAGGCCTCCAAATTATCAACCAGCCAGCGCTTCTCATAGAAGCCCTTGCTGAAGGTCTCGGGATATTCTGCCCTCATTAACTCTTCCGCTTCGTCCAGTCCCTCAAGAAGGTCCAAGCAACGGTGAAGCGTTGCCGACGAATGAACCTCACGCGGAAGGCTCAGAATGGCCGATTTCCAGGAAGTGAAGACGTGCTCACAAAAGGCTTGACCTCGCTGTTTCCATATCTTGCAAATGTAGCTGATGAGGAGTCTTGGGTTCAGCAATTCTTCTAGGTCTTGGTAGCAAAAGATCAAGTCACCAGGGAAGAGTTCTTCAAGAGCAGACGACATCACATCCTTCACCACGTACTGAAGCGAACCTACCATCTGCACATGTTGTGTGTTTTGTGTGATATAAATATTATAGAATTGATATAGGGTATAGGGTCTCAGTGTAAAACATGAGTGTGATATGCTGATTATTGAAATCATTTAGGAGTCACCTCCATCACTGACCATCACATTCGGATCTCCTCTCCACTGATGATTGCAGCAGCCCACATGGAGAGAAGGTTACAATACATTACAATACCGTATTACTGGAGCAATTAAGAATGCAAACCCTACACCCATATCTCCAAGAACTTGTATCGGAACCTAAAATTGGAAGCAACATATGCTCTGGGTGAAATCTCAGTACTCTCACTTGAAGAACACCATATACATTGAAAGAGTCGTGTGAGGTATCGTGTGAGGTATGGATCGTAGCTTTAGATATGATGTTGAAATGTGGTTTTCGATATCTTTAGAGTATATATTATATTTATATTTAAATATTTTGACTTTCTGTAATATAATACATTGTATGTATTGTAGGGGAACCAGGTAACCATATGTAAAAACTATGAAACCATCTATAGTAATGAAACGTACTGAGACCGAACATCCAATTCGTCCAAAGCTGGGGCTCCTCATCCTGCCTTGTTCGAACCACTGCCATTCCAACAGGTGGTCGTCTTGGAGTGGAGTGTCGTGGATAAGCCATATCCGACAGATCAGAAAGGGTGATCCAGGAATACCTGAGCTGCTGGGAGAAGTGAACAATATCTTCTGCGTAGGATTATGAGTCATGATTTTTCCTCATCAACTCAAAGTCAAATATAGTAATATAAGTCAGATCCAATTTAAGATAGATTGAAACAAAGAACAAAGAACATGAGTCCTTGGTACTAAGTCAGTGCCGCAGTTGGATGGCATGGAAATTCGTGCATGCTTGGACACCAACGGGAAGTTGGCACAAATGCATAGTACATGGCGACCATCGCATGCAAAAGAAAGTCATGCAAAAACATACAGCAGCCCGGATATGGATAATAGTTTGCAAAATGAGATACTATGCACTATGCAGCTTCCCCTCAAGTCTCCTCACCATAAGCAAACAATATCAAATAATATAGCAAGTAAAGTAGGTTGCAGGTTGGCGGAGCCAACAATTTAGATGTGGACAGAAGAGGGAAAAACTGTCAAAACAAACATGCAAAAATGTTGGCCTGAATCTGGACAGCTACGGCATATCATGGTATCATTTTTGGCAAGGCATCGCTTCAGGTCTCTGACGCTCACAATCTTGTTTGCTTCATGACGGGTGAGAGGAACTTCCAGCAACTCTCCGGATAAGCGAACCACCCGGAGGCAAGGGTTGCTGACGTCACCTTCAAGTTGCTGCATGGCGAGTCTCTCGCTATTTGTGAGTGGCGATGGGCGAACTTGGAACTTCTGGGTGGCCAAATGGCTTCATAGTTCAGTTAGCAGTTAGCTAAGCGTGCATCTGGCTGGAAAAATATGAGGGCCACAGTGCCACGTCTCCAGCACTATCTCAGCGAGCACGGAACAAACTCGTGGTATGTCATTGAAGGCACCTCCGAATCATCGGTTTGTCGCTCACAGCCTCATGGGCTCAACAAAGATAGATCACCCTCAAGGAACTTGGAATCTTATAATCGTCTTTCACTCAGCTGGAGGGGACAAGAACATCCTTCCTAGAATGAACATTTTCTACAATTCTACAAACTGTTTTTAGGTGTATACAGAAAACCTTGCTGCATCCTGTGAAGTGTTCATGGAAAGTCTTGAGGACCTCGAAATTCTGCAAGGGCAATTGATGTATAGATATTTTGTCCCATCCTTTCCCTTGCTGTTGCTCTTTCCTGGTCTATTTACACAGCATCTCACCTGTGAGTGTGGAGTGTGGAGTGTGGAATGTAAAGTGTAAAGCGTAGAGTGTAAAGTGTAAAGTGTACAGTGTAAAGTGTGGAGTGTGGAGTGTAAAGTGTAGAGTGTAAAGTTCCCAACAGCGAATCTGTTGGGTTTCAATCTCCGGCGCCGGGGACTGGTGATACGAAAATGCACGCCCCAAAAAACCGGAACAGTCCTGGAACCGCACTTCGTGACATTCTCATGTGTCTGCAAACGTGTCGAAAGTCATTTTGTATGGCAAGCGCAGTACTTTTGCGTACTCTACAATCTACACTCTACACTCCACACACAAAACTCCACACGCCACAAACCACTCCCCACTTTACAGTTTACACTGCGCCTTACACTCCACACTGTACACTCTATACTTTACACTTCGCACTCCACACATTACACTCCACACTCTGCACTCTACAGTCCACACTCCACACTTTACACTATACACTTTACACTCCACTTACACTCCACACTGAACACTTTACACTTTACACTGGACACTTTACACTCCACACTTCATACTTGACACTTCACACTTTATACTCCACACTCGACACTTCACACTCCCCACTCCACACTCTACACTTTACACTCCACACTCTTCACTCCACATTCCACACTTTACACCCCACACTGCGCACTCTACACTCCACACTTTACACTCCACACACTACACTTTACACTTTACACTCAACTTTTTTCACTCCACACTTTACACTCCACACTGTGCACTCTATACTTTACACTCCGCACTCTACATTCGACACTGCACACTTTACACTTTGCACTCCACACCCCACACATTACACTCGACACTCGGCACTCGACACTTCACACTCCACACTCCACACTTTACACTCCACACTTTGCACTTTACACTTTACACTCTACACTTTACACTCCACACACTATACTCCACACTCTTCACTCCACACTCCACACTTTACACCCCACACTGCGCACTCTACAATCCACACTGTACACTCCACACTGAACTTTACACTCAACTTTTTTCACACCACACTTTACACTCCAAACTTTACACTTTACACTTTACACTCCACACTCTACACTCCACACCCTACACTCCACACTCCACACTTTACACTCCGCACTCCACACTCTACAACTCACACTCCACACTTTACACCTTACTCTCTACACTCCACGCTCCACACTTTACACTCCACACTTTACACTCTATACTTTACACTCCACACTCTACACTCCGCACTCTACATTTTACACTCCACACTTTGCACTCCACACTTTACACTTTACACTCCACACTTTACACTCTACACTCCACACTTTACACTCCACACTTTGCACTTTACACTCCTTACTCTGCACTCCTCACTTTACATTTTACACTTTACACTCCGCACTCTACACTTTACACTCTACACTTTACATTAGCCGAGCTTTGCAACCGGAAAACCAGAGACTCGCGACGAGACATATTGGAGCATCAAAACGGGCATTTCCTGCGAGGCTTCCTCCAATTTTCACACTTTGTAGCTTCAAAATCGACGTTTTCCTACGAGTTTTCTTATGAACCTCTAAATTGGCTCCTCAAAATCGATGTTCCGTGCAAGACTTCCATCAATTTTCGTCCCATCTCACAAAATGCCACGCCTGCCAGGGAATTTGCACCTTGTCGTCACTTGACGCAGCCCTGACAATGCGATTTGCAAAAAACACGCAACATGACACGTCTAAAGTGGTGCGCCTGCCACGCGAAATGACCATGGAGGTTGCCAAAGTGCTGCGCCTGCCACGAAAACTGCTACGCATCTTCTGAGAACGACGCAAAAGTATTGCGCCTGCCACAAAACGACTTTCGACACATTACGAAACACGTCTGAATGTCACGAAGTGCCACACCTGCCACGCGAACCGAAGCTACGCGACACAGGAAACCTCCAAAAGTGACCCCTGTTGCAGAACTCGCCATGGGTACGGCCATACGGCCCTCACACGGACACTTGCAGACGGTTGCGAACGGTTGCGCAACGTCGGGCGAACACACCCTCAACCCCCAGACCCCCAGAGTGAAACGGGAACATACGGGAACCCTTGCTACGCATTCGGGAAAACACGTCATTCAAAATATTTCAAAATAAAGAGTTTGAACATTCAAACAGTATGGATCATTTCGTAAAGAGAGCACGTCACTGCAAATCATGACATCATCGTTGATCACGTGCACAGCCTGAGACCTTTGGAAAGGCTCTCGGAGTTGCAAAGTGACATCATCCCCTGCATGTCATGATCTTTTGTAAAGACTACCATGCACCCACAGATATCCACAGTATTGCTGACACAGCAACTAAATGAAGATAGTTCAACCAACTCAAGACATCTTTGTTCTGCTTGTATCCTGGCAGCACGTTGCTGTTTTCTTCCCAAATAATGCGGATCGGATACAGCAAGCCAATCTCTCAATTGAATGAGTGAGGCCATTCCCGAAAAACACGCCACCGGAACTTTGTTCCCCGTCATTTCAGGCCATAAATGAAATGGCAATTTCGAACCCCACTCTGGATTCACAAGGACCAATGATCGGCTGATTATATTGGATAATGTCGGATATATTATGATATATGGATCTATATATTCTAATATTGAATTGGATATCTTTATCATGTTCTAAAGATTTCTAAAGTCTGTGTGATTCCACTGATGAGGCCTTGAACACGTTTGCTGCTCTGTGCGGCAAGCTTTCCGCCAAACACAGTCGTGCAGCGATGGGAAAGTTGAATTTTGCTTTCTTCGAAACCACGGAAAAAAAAAGAACACGCCATCCGTTTTCCAGAGGCAAAATCGAAAGATTTCGAAAGGCTACCCGAAAGCCAAAACAAAGCCAAATAGTCATGCAAACACACCCTTGAAATGCCTTGTCCTCAAATCCCTCTACAAACGATGCCCTGTCCCACTGCACGGAAGTGCCAATCCAGAACCTCTGAGACTTGGCCGTTGGCAGAGTCTTGAGCAAAAGTCCAGCCCATCCTACAGAGTTCATGGGCAAAAAAAATCCGGCACTAAGAGGCCTTTGCCAAAACACGAGCTTACTTCGTTTGCATTGCCATGAAATTATGCTAAGAAATCTTCAAGTACACCAGTACAGTATAACTACATATTACTACAAATATCTACAAACATTGGAATACAAATAATAAAATCAAATACACTTACATCAAATTATACGTATCACTTATAACTCTGATTCTGACACATCTTGACCCCGGCCTTAACCACTCCTTCCGAATGATTGCAGCCCGCTGCCACATCTGCTCTTCAAAGGCTGGAAGGGATTCAAGAGCATCGATACCACCTTGCTTACAGCATGTTCTGCTTTTGTGTCGATGGGTGTGATCTCTTCTGGTGTTGTTTGAGCAATTTTAATGTGACATGATTCAAAACTGACTATAGCAAGGTCAAGCTGCCACCAAAACTTTCTCGGACAGACCGAGCCAATTCAACCAAAGCAAGCAAGCTGCCCTGGAACTCCCTCACTTGCGTCTGCATCCGCTCCCTGATCACATCACGAACTTCAATCCAGGGGGTATCTGCAGCCCAGGGGCACTCACAAAACACCTCAGCATGCCCAAGCGCGATTTGGCCATCCGTGGCTTGATGGCATAGCTCTTCCAAGCTGAATCTTTCGGCCAGGAATATGCACAGCTTTGCCTTTGCCCCATCTTCTGGCTCCCAATCCCCTGGTACTGCGGCCAGTGGCGCCATGATGTGTCGCAGGAGGCTATCATTGAAGGGGCCCCAGTGACCAGCCCAACAGCATCTTGGAAGTCCTCTCTCGATCAATGCCATCAGCAGGTCTGCTCCAAGCCCAAAGCGCAAAGCACCATCATTGCGCAACCGACTGCACCCGTAGGGGTGCCCCTGCACGAGTTTCCACACATCACTTTTCACCCTGTCTTTATTCATGTGACGGAAGGATTCTTCCACTCTTTGAGGATCTGCTTTCTGTCTAACAAGTTCAATGGTCATAGAAGCGAATGTCTTGTGGAGGAAATCTTCAAAAGTGTCACCTGGCCATTGCTTGTCGTAGAAATCTTCATACCAGTCAGACCAATGGATGCGGTTGGCGAAATGAGGATCAGCAGCGCGCATCAAGTCTTCTGCTTCATCGAGTCCCTGCAAAAGTGAAAAGCACCGGTTGAGAAGTGTGTGACCGAAAATGTTTTGCACTGCGTTCACCTGATTGCTTGAAAGACTCAGCAGGGCTGAAGTCCAAAGAGTGAAAACAGTTTTGCACCAGGCTTGGCCTCCGTGCTTGCACAGTTTGAAGGCGTAGCCGATGAGAAGCTTGCGGTCCAGCAATTCTTCCAAATTCTCGTAAGAGAATGTTAAGTCATCAATAGCAGGAAGTTCTTCGGGAGCAAGCAAACTCACATCAGCAAGCATGTACTGAAGCGAACCTTCCAGCACAAGGTGTTTGACATGCTGCATGAAAACCTCTAATCTATCTGATTCTATCTGCACCTCGTGCAGATTGCTTGCCAGTTCAAAACATGACGGTCACAGCCTAATACCACATGCTCATGTTACGTCCCGGAGGTTCAGAATAGAAAAGTGTTCTGAGGCAATCAGAGCCTGGAATAACAAACACATGCATAAACAGTAAGAACAAAGAACATATCTTATTCATGCATGTTCATCCTGCTACAAACCTGTAGTTCATAGCATCCAATCCATCCAAAGACATAGGTCCCCTGATGGCCCAAGACTTGCGCGGGCCCGCGCGGGCCCGCGGGCTCGCGGGCCCGAGGGTCTTCAGGTCAGCATTTTATCGTCTATATCTTCTTGCATTCTGTCTAGCATCTGTGTCTAGCAAATCTTTTCCGGTATTTATTCTGGCAATCCAACAAATACTTTCAAATAATTATATTCTGGCATAAACTGACATAGGCGGACCCGCGCGTTCTATCTGGCATATCTTTTGGCATGCTATCTGGCATATGTGTCTATCTGGCATAACTTCTGACAATTCAAGGCTGCCATGCTATCCGGCATCTCTTTTGGAATTCTTTCTGGCATACGTGGCTATTGTGTCTTCTCACTTTCATTGTGGCATTCTATCTCACCCAGGCGCTTGTGATCCAGGTCCGGCGGGCACCACTCTGATCCGGGTTTTGCGGTTGAGGTCAGGCGCGGCGAGGAGGACAAGAAGGAGGAGAGGAGTGGCTGACATAGAATCTCACAACCCGGAACATGCAGGTGAAGGGACAACACTAACAAAGTGAAAGAAGCACATGGAAGCACGATACAGGCAGCACAGTCCCTGTCCGCTATGGTGTTTTATTCAATCAAAGGGCATGGTCACGCGGTATGAAGTTCCAAAGATTCAAAAAATGAGTGAACTTAAATCATCTTAACCTCTCCGTGTGGACTGAACCCTTGCCTGTTGCTCCCTCCAAAACTCCAAGTTTGCGCACAATCACAGAAAAGCGATTCATGAGCGCTGTCATGCAAAGTAGAGGTCAGTTCGTCTCATCACATTTTGATTGTAGTTCATATACAATGCAAGGCAAAAACAATCTTGCTAACCTCACAATGCCTTTTTCTTCACCAGGGCAGCGGGCTCGCGGGCCCGAGGGTCTTCAGGTCAGCATTTTATCGTCTATATCTTCTTGCATTCTGTCTGGCATCTGTGTCCAGCAAATCTTTTCCAGTATTTATTCTGGCAATACAACAAATATTTTCAAATATATTCTGGCATAAACTGACATAGTCGGACCCGCGCGTTCTATCTGGCATATCTTTTGGCATGCTATCTGGCATATGTGTGTCTATCTGGCATAACTTCTGACAATTCAAGGCTGCCATGCTATCCAGCATCTCTTTTGGAATTCTTTCTGGCATACGTGGCTATTGTGTCTTCTCACTTTCATTGTGGCATTCTATCTCACCCAGGCGCTTGTGATCCAGGTCCGACGGGCACCACTCTGATCCGGGTTTTGCGGTTGAGGTCAGGCGCGGCGAGGAGGACAAGAAGGAGGAGAGGAGTGGCTGACATAGAATCTCACAACCCGGAACATGCAGGTGAAGGGACAACACTAACAAAGTGAAAGAAGCACATGGAAGCACGATACAGGCAGCACAGTCCCTGTCCGCTATGGTGTTTTATTCAATCAAAGGGCATGGTCACGCGGTATGAAGTTCCAAAGATTCAAAAAATGAGTGAACTTAAATCATCTTAACCTCTCCGTGTGGACTGAACCCTTGCCTGTTGCTCCCTCCAAAACTCCAAGTTTGTGTACAATCACAGAAAAGCGATTCATGAGCGCTGTCATGCAAAGTAGAGGTCAGTTCGTCTCATCATATTTTGATTGTAGTTCATATACAATGCAAGGCAAAAACAATCTTGCTAACCTCACAATGCCTTTTTCTTCACCAGGGCAGCGGGCTCGCGGGCCCGAGGGTCTTCAGGTCAGCATTTTATCGTCTATATCTTCTTGCATTCTGTCTGGCATCTGTGTCTAGCAAATCTTTTCCGGTATTTATTCTGGCAATACAACAAATATTTTCAAATATATTCTGGCATAAACTGACATAGTCGGACCTGCGCGTTCTATCTGGCATATCTTTTGGCATGCTATCTGGCATATGTGTCTATCTGGCATAACTTCTGACAATTCAAGGCTGCCATGCTATCCGGCATCTCTTTTGGAATTCTTTCTGGCATACGTGGCTATTGTGTCTTCTCACTTTCATTGTGGCATTCTATCTCACCCAGGCGCTTGTGATCCAGGTCCGGCGGGCACCACTCTGATCCGGGTTTTGCGGTTGAGGTCAGGCGCGGCGAGGAGGACAAGAAGGAGGAGAGGAGTGGCTGACATAGAATCTCACAACCCGGAACATGCAGGTGAAGGGACAACACTAACAAAGTGAAAGAAGCACATGGAAGCACGATACAGGCAGCACAGTCCCTGTCCGCTATGGTGTTTTATTCAATCAAAGGGCATGGTCACGCGGTATGAAGTTCCAAAGATTCAAAAAATGAGTGAACTTAAATCATCTTAACCTCTCCGTGTGGACTGAACCCTTGCCTGTTGCTCCGCCCCCGATAGCCCAAGACTAGCGCGGGCCCGCGGGCCTCCGCGGGCCTGGGCACACGGTGGACCATAGCCCCATCTAAACCCAGCCGAAATACATTGCTATCGCATACGGAACTGAAATATATACCAAAATAATCTAAAATCATTCTTATTCCAGGCAAACCCGGCTTGCAAAAAAAAAGGTAGTCTGAAGTAAAGCATCCTCTTTTTGTGAGGGTGTATTGTCAAACAAGTCGGAACAAAGCGGAGACACAAACAATTGATGTCTTGCAATATGTTGAATGATTCAAAACCAAAGGATACCAAAAACAGGAATCACATCCAGCTTGCTAAGCTGTTTCAAAGATGAGGCATTGACCGAATCATTCAAACATCTGCGATATTGAATGCAGTACAAGTGAAACTAACAGTCTCACTCATGATACTAATAGAGCATGCATTGCATTGCTTTTCTGCGCTGTCATGAATCTATTGCTTCCCATCCGTGCCTTGTTCCAAGCACTTCCAAATCTCCGCATGAACAGGGTCATCATCCAAGAGTTCCATGCCAGCCATGAAGGCGTCCATGTGACTCAGCCGCGCCCAATAGACGGAGAAGGGTGTTCCAGGAGTACCTTGGCTGGATATCTGCAAGAAAAACATCTTCCGTTCTCTGTCTGTATGTATGATGCATATTGATGCATCTGGTGCAAACTCAACTTCAAAAAACGGCCAACTGGTGCCCTGTCGCTGTTCCAGCATGGATGGCAGGGCTTCTTCGACACCCTTTGAAAGTTGACACTTTGACACAAACACACACAAACATAGGAATACATATTGCAAAATATTGCGAGCGTGTGTGCCCCCACTATGATTCATAGCTTGAAGTGCGATCTCATTCCCCACCTGCCAGGTGAGGGTTGTTAGATTTTATCAGAGCTGTTCTCCTCCTCCGCCTCCTCACCCGCCGCCTCCTCCTCGCAGTCCAGATCCCAGTGGGCACAGCCGGACCTCCACCGCGAGCTCCAGATCCCAGTGGGCACTGCCGGACCTCAACCGCGAGCTCCAGATCGCAGTGGGCACTGCCGGACCTCAACCGCGACTTCCAGATCGCAGTGGACACTGCCGGACCTCAACCGCGACTTCCAGATCGCAGTGGGCACCGCCGGACCTCAACGGGAAGAATGTCAGAAAAGATGTCAGATAGAATGTCAGAAGATATGCCAGATAGAATGCCAGAAAGAATGTCAGAAGATATGCCAGACAGAATGTCAGAAGATATGCCAGAAAGAATGTCAGAAGATATGTCAGATAGAATGTCAGAAGATATGCCAGATAGAATGCCAGAAAAAATGTCAGAAGATATGCCAGATAGAATGTCAGATAGAATGCCAGAAGGTTTGCCAGATAGAATGCCAGGAGATTTGCCAGATAGAATGCCAGAAGATATGCCAGAACATATGCCAGAAGATATGCCAGATAGAATGCCAGATAGAATGCCAGAAGATATGTCAGATAGAATGCCAGAAGATTTGCCAGTAAGAAAATGTATAAATGTCATGGTGGGGATCATTCGAAGTGAAGTATTTTTGTAGATTTCACATTTTTTACAGGATACCCTACATGCAAAGTAGCTACTAGAATCAAAAACAAGGTACGCACTGTAAAACTGTATAATATATATATATATACAATACCAAAATCTTGGCCTAAATCTGGACAGCTACGGCATATCATGGTATCATTTTTGGCAAGGCATCGCTTCAGGTCTTTGACGCTCACAATCTTGTTTGCTTCATGACGGGTGAGAGGAACTTCCAGCAACTCTCCGGATAAGCGAACCACCCGGAGGCAAGGGTTGCTGGTGTCACCTTCAAATTGCTGCATGGGGCACGCTGCTTTACGTGGCGATGGGTGAACTTGGAACTTCTGGGTGGCCAAATGGCTGCATAGTTCGGTTAGTTAAGCATGCATCTGGCTGGAAAAATATGAGGGCCACAGTGCCACGTCTCCAGCACTATCTCAGCGAGCACGAAACAAACTCGTGGCATGTCATTGAAGGCACCTCCGAATCATCGGTTTGTCGCCTCACAGCCTCATGGGCTCAACAAGGATAGATCACCCTCAAGGAACTTGGAAACTTAATAGTCGTCACTTCAGTCAGTTGGAGGGGACAAGAACATCCTTCCTGAACCTACACTGTTTTTGGATCCTGTGAAGTGGTGGAACAAGTCTTGAGAATGTCAAAATTCTGCAAGAGCAATTCATGTAGATATCTCAATTCATGTAGATATCTTATCCCATCATATCCCATCCTTTCCATTGCTGTTGCTCGTTCCTGGTCTATTTACACAGCATCTCTCACCTGTGAAAAATCCAGCTCACTCAAAATAAACAGTTTGAACATTCAAACAGTATGGATGAGTTTCATTAAGAGAATCAAAACAAAATCAACAAGAATCCAGCCTCAGCATGGCTTAACTGCTCCAGATGATGCAAACATGAGTTTTAGGTTACTGCATCGAATCCGTCTTTCTACATGTGTTTGCGACATGTTTTCAAACTGTCCATAAAACAAAAACACACATTGAATATCATTGAACATAATTCATCAAAGATCAAACACGGTGCATGCTGCCAGTCTGTGATGTTCTTTGTTGAAATCCGCCAACTTGATTTCCTTGGAAGGCATTAGGAGGACAATTTCAACATGATATCAATTATATCATTTGACCGCATGATCCTCCAGTGCATAGTCATGGTAAGACTTGGGCCGAAAGCTATGCCGCATTTGTTTCTCCGACCTTCCCCCCCCCAGCCCCAAACCAAAGAAACAGATTCATGGCTGTCCCTCGGCTCTACCCTTACTCAACTTCAGCAGTTTCCCATTTGGTTTCATCAGGAAAGTCTGCTCAGCAGCTGTTCGCCCAGCCGACATAAAATTGCCACAATTTTCCTCGATAGCCCGACAACTGAGAGTCACTTCGCAGGTGAGACAGCTCACTCAGCCCTCAAACAGCGAGACACCAACACACACCAACATGGATGGACTGCCCTAGAACACTTCTCTCAAGCAAGTTGTGAACAAGAAATGAAAATGAAGACAGCGACATGAAGCGGGTTGAGCCCTTGGCTTCCCATGGTATCCCCAAATCATCCCAAATCCAATGGGTTATCAAATGTTTCCCGACGATTGGCATTTTGTGGTATGTTCCATGGTACAAACTAAACTCAGGCAACACTTCACTGCACATCAGCGTTGATCACCTGACACCAGCACCCCCATCTCATGATCTTTTGTAAAGAAAAGAACGGTTCTACCAGATATCCACAGTATTGCTGACACAGCAACTAAATGAAGATAGTTCAACCAACTCAAGACATCTTTGTTCTGCTTGTATCCTGGCAGCACGTTGCTGTTTTCTTCCAAATAATGCGGATCCGATACGGCAAGCCAATCTCTCAATTGAATGAGTGAGGCCATTCCCGAAAAACACGCCACCGGAACTTTGTTCCCGGTCATTTCAGGCCATAAATGAATAAATGGCAATTTCGAACCCCACTCTGGATTCACAAGGACCAATGATCGGCTGATTATATTGGATAATGTCGGATATATGGATCTATAATGATCTATATTCTAAGATTGGATATCTTTATTATGTTCTAAAGATTTCTAAAGTCTCTGTGATTCCACTGATGAGGCCTTGAACACGTTTGCTGCTCCGTGCGGCAAGCTTTCCGCCAAACACAGTCGTGCAGCGATGGGAAAGTTGAATTTTGCTTTCTTCGAAACCACGGAAAAAAAAGAACACGCCATCCGTTTTTCAGAGGCAAAATCGCGGCTACCCGAAAGCCAAAACAAAGCCAAATAGTCATGCAAACACACCCTTGAAATGCCTTGTCCTCAAATCCCTCAACAAACGATGCCCTGTCCCACTGCACGGAAGTGCCAATCCAGAACCTCTGAAACTTGGCCGTTGGCAGAGTCTTGAGCAAAAGTCCAGCCCATCCTACAGAGTTCATGGGCAAAAAAAAAATCCGGCGCTAAGAGGCCTTTGCCAAAACACGAGCTTACTTCATTTGCATTGCCGTGATTCTGTTAGGAAATCTACACATACCCAGTCCTACAAACATGCAAACAAATTAAAGAAATAATATACACATTATCATTATATAATTCGTTCTGACCCATCTTGACCCTGGACCCTGGCCTCAACCACTCCTCCCGAATGATTGCAGCCCGCTGCCACATCTGCTCTTCAAAGGCTGGAAGTGCTTCAAGAGCATCGATACCACCTTGCTTACAGTATGCTCTGTGTGTTTGCGAACATGAGTGCGGAGTCCTCCAATGTTTTCTGTGTGTTTTCAATGCGAAATGAAAAGTTACTAGCAAGGTCAAGTTGCCACCAAAACTTGCTCGGACCGACCGAGCCAGGTCAACCAAGGCAAGCAAGCTGCCCTGGAACTCCCTCACCTGCCTTTGCATCCGCTCCCTGATCACATCACGAACTCGAACCCATAGAGGATCTGCCTGAAACGGAGAGTTTTCACAGTATTGCAGCACATACCAAAGCGCATTCTTGAAGTCCCTGTTTTGATAGCACAACTCCTCCAAGCTGAATCTTTTGGCTAAGAATCTGCAAAGTCGTGCTTTTGCCCCGTCTCTCGGGTTCCAGTCCACCGGTTTTGCAGCCACTGGAGCTATGATGTGCTGCAGTAGGTTGTCGTTGAAGGGGCCCCAGTGACCAGCCCAACAGCATCTTGGAAGGCCTTTGTCGATCAATGCCATCAGCAGGTCTGCTCCAAGCCCAAAACGCAAAGCACCGCGGGTACAGCTGCGCCGATTGCAGCCGCAGGACTGTCCCTGCACGAGCTTCCAAACAATGCTCTTCACCTTCTCTGTGAACATGTTGCGGAAGATTTCTTTCACCCTTTGAGGATCTGCTTTCTGTCTGACAAGTGCAATGGTCATAGAAGCGAATGTCTTGTGGAGGAAGTCCTCAAAAGCGTCATCCGGCCATTGCTTGTCGTAGAAGTCCTCATAGCTGTCAGGCCAGTTGCGGTTGTCGCAATCAGGATCAGCAGCGCGCATCAATTCTTCTGCTTCATCGAGTCCCTGCAGAAGTGAAAAGCACCGGTTGAGAAGTGTGTGGCCCAAAATGTCTTCCACTGCGTTCACCTGATTGCTTGAAAGACTCAGCAAAGCTGAAGTCCAAAGAGTGAAGACATTTTCGCACCAGGCTTGGCCTCCGTGCTTGCACAGTTTGAAGGCGTAGCCGATGAGAAGCTTGGGATCCAGCAATTCTTCCAAATTCTCGTAAGAGAATTTCAAGTCATCACCAGAGGGAAGTGCTTCTGGAGGAAAGGAGAACACATCAGCGAGCATGTACCGAAGGGAACCTTCCAGGGCACCAGGTTTTTACCTGCTGAACCTGCTGCATCAAAACGCCCAATCTATCTGCACTTCCAGCGTATTGTCTGCCAGTCCAAAACATGCTCATGTATATGTTCATATCACGTTCAGAAACATTCAGAAACTAGCAAAGTGTTCGGAGCCATTCAGATGTTTATTCTTCTTGTAGTTCATAGCATCCAACCTATCCAATCCCAGCCGAAATACATTGTTATCACACAAGCAACCAAAATATATCAAAATATTCTTCCAGGCAAGCCTGGTTTGCAAAAACACAAGCAGTGAATCGTAAATGATCAGTTCTTTAAGTGAGGTTGGATTGTGACACAAAGTATCAGAACAGAACGGGAGACGCAAACCAAGCAAACAAATGCATTAATGGATACAAATGGAAGGATATGGTAGGTCTTGTAATACGCTGAATGATGACACAACAAAATTGGAAAACATCTAGCTTAATCATCTGTTTCAAAAACAAGGCATTGACCAAATCATGCCATCTGCGGATATCTGCGGTATGGGATGCATCCAAATGCCTCATGGGTTTCCCATCCTTGCCTTGTTCCAACCATTCCCAAGTCTCAGGGTTGACAGGGTCCTCATCATGGAGTTCCATGCTAGCCATGCTGGCGTCCGTGTGAATCAGCCGAATCCAATGGACAGAGAAGGGTGTTCCAGGAGTACCTTAGCTGGATATCTGCAAGAAGTAGTCTCTGTCTGTACATGTATGATGCATCTGGCGCAAACTCAACTTAAATAGCAGCCAGGAGTTGCACTGTCACTGTTCCGCATGCATGGCACGGATTCTTCGACACCAATAGAAAGTTGAGACATTAAAACACACAAACACAACTTGACACTATGAAAAACTATTGCGGGCGCATCCATAGCAAAATGGTGGTGGCTGCTACAGTACAAGCATAATTTGTCGTTTGAATTTCATAGACAGGTCCATTTTTTCTCATGACGACCTTAGCAAGTTGCTAGCACATTAGAACCAAACACAAGGGAGATATTACCAAAAACATCCAAAACAACCTTGGCCTTATCTTTTTGAAAGCTACGACCAAGTGGTCTGGTAACATTTCTGGTGAGGCATCGCTTCAGGTCTCTGACGCTCTCAATTTTCTTGGCCTCCTGAGACGTGAGATGGACTGTCAGCGGCTCCCCGGATAAGCCGCCAAGCACCTGGAGGATGCTGCCGTCCACTGGCTGCATTGCGGGCTGCATTGATGCTGGGTGATGTTCACAGCTTGGGCACTTCTGGGTGGCCAAATGGCTGCAAGATGCTGTAAGGTTCAACATCCAACGAGTTTGAGACACCATTTTGGTGATTCATGCGCTGCGGCTGAAACTGATGCGGCTTGCAGGCACCTCGAATCTGCATCGGTTTGTGGCAGCCTTCACAGACTCAAACAACAAGGATGATCATCCTCAAGAAATGACTATAGTTACTATATGTTCCTATAGTTGTCACTTTCATCCAGCTGGAGTGGACAAGACAAACAATTGTGTATTTCAGTGGAACGAATTGGTCCTTTATGGTCCTTTAATTACATCCTCTGCGAACTCTTCATGAACAACATATGAACCACGTTCTAAACCCGTGTGTTCATGTTTAGGAAGGAACCCCTTGCAATGGCGTAAGGATTTCCAAAAATTTGGTGCCAAAAAATGTAAGACATGACATGACCAGAACATGGTTCATATGTTGCTGGATCCTGAAGTGTCCATCGAAAGAATGCGACATAAATTCACAACATTTCACAACACACAGTTCCTTTGCTATTGTTGTGATTCGGTCCATCGGCAGAACACCTTACCCGTGAAACACTCCGCTCACGCAAACTACAGTAACTGAATGGATAACCATCGGGAATGAAAACCGAACCAAAACCCATCCAGCCTCATCAGCATGGCTTAAGACAGCTCCAAATGATGTTTTTTTTTTCAAATACCATAGAAATCATTAAAATCCATGTGAAATCCCTTCTGCAACGTCTGATAATCCATGTGAAATCCCTTCTGCAACGTCTGCAACATGCTACCAGGCATTGAATTCAAACCATGTCAGTTTCAACTGGATGATCATCTGGCGCAGACTTAAGCCAAGAACTATGCTGCAATTGATGGTCCGACCTGCCCCCCCCGGTCAAATCAACAAAAAAGGAAAACATGACCAGGTGGCAACTCTACCCTCTGTGTTCAGCAGTTTCCCCAGAAATTTCTGCTAGGCTGCTTAGGAAAGTCTGCATGAACAACAACAGCTATCTGCTTGAAATATCTTGAAATCATATTTCGCAACTCAATGCAAGCTTGATTTTCCTTGATTCCTGCGAGTCACTTCGCAGGTGAGACGACTAACACGAGAGCCAAGAGCGTCACTCATGCTTGCGATATCTAAAGCATTTGCAAGTATGGACTTCCGTTCCACCTGAACCTGCACTCTAAGTCGGTTGATTTCTTTGCAGTCTCAAGCAATTTGGGCTCAACTGCTCTGAAAACATCCAGCGTTGTTCAGCTGGCTTGCGGTCAGCCCTGCGCTGCCACCGCAGATTTCATTGGAATTGCACTTCCACCTTCTGCTTCTTTGGCGGCCGGTCGGGTGGTGCAGGAGCTTGCTTCCTGCAGCCAAGTTTGATACAAGCGGCTTGAGGGCTGTTTCATTCCTTCTAGAAATATGAGCTGAACACTCAACTCTACTATGTTGGAGGGGTCAAGCATGTAATTACCAACAGGTCCAAGTGATCGTGATGTTTACCGTACTAGTAACTTCCCCCCCCAAAAAAAAACAAAACCGGGCCTGATACTTGCAGCAAAATCCAAATCTCATCACCCCAGCGGAGAAAAAATAATTCCTGTGGCCCTGCCTCACTTTGGGCCCTTTGGGCGCTTTTGGCACCCGTGGTGTGGCAAGAAACTTGTCAAGAATGATCTTCAGCTCTTCGTTGGTGCAGTAACAGCCTCCCATGATCTCCCATGCGCTCTTCCTTTTTGTGTTTGCTAAATCATCTATAAATCTCCATGCTTTGCAAACAACTGCCTTTCAATGCAAGGTGTCAAGGATATTAAGGAAACTGATGGGAACTGTATACATCTGTATACCGTCGAACGACCGCAGGCAAATGATTTGCGAAGACACCGGATGGGCTGAAGAGATTCAACCTTGCTAGACTCTGCTAGACAAATTGTGTTTGCCCACCTCTGAATTGAACCTCCCCGCCCAGTACACAGTGCCAACAGTAAATACCAAAACCTGCACCACTGTGCCACATCATTCCACCATCCAAAAGGGCCTCTGGGAGAGGAGTCATCCACCATCTTGTTAAAGGCTTCCTGTCAGATTCCGGACATCATCTTACAGTTAAGCCAAAGAAGGTCTTGGCAAAAAACGGCCACCAAACATGATATGTAATGATATGCGATGATGCGCATATATATATATATATATGAATTGTAATATATTAATATATATATATGTGTGTGTTATGCATTATTCTGTAACATTGTGTATGCATTCAAAGGACAAGTCTTATGAGGGTGGCAGTTTTCTCCGATACACTGCCCGTCCGGATGGCCTGAGTAAAGCCCTTGGATGGCTCCACCTTCCTAGGCACAGTTTGGGCGGCTCGAAGAGTGCATCCTTTACCAAATGGTGGCTTAAAATCATTGAAAATTACAATTTTTAATAGGTAAATGGGATGTTGATGTATGTTTTGATTGATTATTTTAAGCAAATTCATATGTCTTAACGATTCTGTAACATACACACAGCACCAAGTCGAAATGATCGTCAAATTTAGATAGGAGGACAATGCAATTGTGGCTTGACACGTCAGGTCTGTCTCTTCCATGAGCTCAGCAACTAAGGTTGCTGCCATTCTTTGCACAAGGACCTTGTGAGCCACGGTAAGCTCATGTGAAGAAATATGGCTTGGTGCAATGTCTAATCCCATAGGATCCATGTATGGTATATATGCTAACATTGGGGGTATATTGATGGCAAATGTTACCAATTGTTACCATATATAGCATACATGGATCCTATGGGAATGATAATGTAGGCATCCAGAATCGCAGCAAAATCTCTTCCGAAAACAAAGAGATGTCAGCAATTTCCCAGCTATGCCAGCGACTTGTATTCATCCTTCCATTCGTTGTCCGAGCCTTCAAAGCCGACCTCGCACAAAAAACGACAGCTTTTTGGAGGTGCGTGGGAGTCTACAATATATACAATAATAATAGGCCATATCCATCCATATCCTCAAATAGATAATGGCGATTTCAATAAGGAAAACATCATTCGGTGCAAACATGATGATAAACAATGGGATTTTGGGGGGTGTACTGCTCATTGCTATGGAAGATGACCCGGTTGGATCACCCATGATGCAATGCACTGAGAAAAATCGATAGATTATATTAGATTATGATAGATCCAGTCAATAATTGAATATAATTGAAGGATATTGAAGAGGTGTGGCTCACAAAACGATGGTGCGCATGACCGGTAGAACCAGCCATCGCATCTTTTTGGGGTCTTAGTCTTGGTCCCAGATGCGGTCCTTGATTAGTAGCCTCCCACATTCTCGGTTCCAGATACTGTGCAGATTGTACAGTTCCTAGGCCCCATGGAGGCCCCATGGATTCCCATCAGGGGCCCCAGGGCATGCGCTCCATTTTCAGCTGACGGCGTCTGTGGTCACAGCTCATCGTGTGTGGCACGACAGGGTTCAACGGCAAAGCGCAGCCTGCGATCAGCTGGCAGCTGGAAGCTGGAAACGAATGAGAGTTCCGGAAACCACAAACATCTTCATTCTCAGGCAGTGCAGGGATATATATATATATGTGTGTGTGTGTTATATATATATATATAGATGCTAGTTGATGATATTTCATCTTTGTTCCATTGATTCTTTGCACCATTTTCCGGAGTCAGTTCAGGTCCAAAATGCAAATGCTGCACTTCAAAAGAACATGGCCAATGATCGGCAAGACACATTGTTAGCTGAGCACTGGCAGCTGTGATGGTATGTTCAGCATGTGGCGGCACCACAGCAACGCTGTTCTGCTCCAGGAAGCCAGTCTTCTTGCTGAAACGTATCCCAGCCCAACCCTCAAGGGCGAAGAAGACCTGGAGCTCGCTGTCTCGAATGATGTGTTGCAACTTCAAACCTACAACGATCCCTAAAAATCACTAAAACAATAGGAAAACACATCCTATAATTACTAAAGTGGCAAATTATGTCTTCTATCTTATTGCTCATTTCAAATAAGGGAAGACTTTCTCTTGGGCAAAAAACTGCAGAATTTATGCATATTATCATCATCTATCATCATCTATCATCATCTGCATACATCTGCCACGTCCGCTGGTGAGTTGAGCCCTTCCCATTTCCCAAATGGATTGGGCATGCCTTGGTGGAGTCAGCATGAGTGCCATCTGCGTGACCATCATAGCCTTAGCCAGGGAAACCAAGACCTGTGAGACGGCGAATGGTGGATCTGGAAGCTATGCCAAACAGCCAAAGTGAACAAATAAGTGGCGATGGCAGTCTGTAAAAAATAATGTCACAAATACCTATATATTAATAACAAATACCTATATATTAATAATTAATAATAATAAAAATGTGTAGCAACCGGATCAAGTCGTGAAGACTTAGCTGAGAATAAACGAGAGTCTCCCCTCTCCAAAGTGTATCAAAGTGCACACTTGGGGAAGCAAAGCAAAAGCTGACCCGCAGGTTTCACCCTTCTTTCACAGCACCTGAGAAGGGGGGAACGAAAGCCAGCATCCCATCTACCCCTATTTTCCACCAAACTTTTCACCCAGAGACTCTTCAATACATTTCACCCATATACTTTTCACCCAGAGATTTTTCACCCAGAAACTCTTCTTGCACAGACTTTTCACCCATATACTTTTCACAAAGAGACTCTTCACCCAATTTTTTTTCTTGCACATACATTTCACCCATATACTTTTCACCCAGAGATTCTTCACCCAGAAACTCTTCTTGCACAGACTTTTCACCCAGAGACTCTTCACCCAGAAACTCTTCTTGCACATACTTTTCACCCATATATACTTCTTACCAAGAGACTTCACCCAGAAACTCTTCTTGCACATACTTTTCACCCAGATACTTTTCACCCAGAGACTCTTCACCCAGAAACTCTTCTTGCACATACATGTCACCCATATACTTTTCACC